TTACAGTGATAACAGTGCATGACAGCCGCTTCCCTGATACAGACGAGTTTAATGTCCACGGGGACACAACTGAGAGTGTTGGCTCTGTAGCCACAGCCAGCTGCTCTTTGGAACCGCTGGCTCGAGAGCACATGTTTATTACTGGGAGAAGAGCTCCCTGACATGGTATTATTCATTATTTGTATGAGGGCAGGAGCTCACAGAATAACACACGGGAGACCGTTAGGGAGAACGCTCCAAAAAACCCAGACAGGCAGTGAAAATAGCATTAGACATGCAAACCATTTCATTGCCTGTCATGGTGAGTGCTCCCTGCAGTGGCTGCAATGGGGCCACTCCATGCATAAAGCTACACCCCTGTATAAGTGCTTAACGTGTGGAGGCCTAGGGCAGAGTGAGAGGAACGTGGTCTAATTAGAGAGACATTGCTGCCGCTTCTCTGTGAAGGCTCCACTGAGAGGGAGGCAAGGAGTAAAGTAATGTGCATGTACACATAGAATTTAACTCACGATTATTTGGAGCAGCCTTCAAATCAGTGAACTTTAAAACTCCACAATTTAAGTTCACCACTATCAGATACTCTCTTTGCATTGTAGAGATCGTATTTTTGTTAAAACTGCAAATTTGTTTTCAAAATACTGTTATGAGTCCCCAGTTTTCTGCTAAACAGAGGATGTCGAGACAGGCTTGAAAGTGTGAAGGGACAAAACCAAACCACCTCACCGTGCTGAGCCTGCGGGCAGCTGGGAACGGTAGACTCAGAGCACTGGGCTGTTCCGCTCAGCTCAGGGAGCCACCAAGATGTGGAAATGCCAAGGTCTGCTGTGCTGGTCATTCAGCAGAACGACCCAACTAAAGCACCATCTGTCCCGGTGCAAAGAAGCCCCGCTCTCTTCACACAGCCACCCAAAAGCCTTTCTCCTCCAACACCTCCAGACCGGTCACCAGCAGCATCTGAGCATCCGGAGGCATCAGCGTCTGCACACGTGAAACCATCCCACCGCTGAAACCGCTGGCAGCAGGGCAGTGTGACAGCTATACAATGCCAACAGGATCGCCTCCCCTTCTCCTCCAGCCACATAAAGCCACGCAACGCCACAGCAAAGCCAGGGCTCCCACGCAGACCCCAGTTCCAGCCCTCCGGCACATGGCCTCTCCAATGGCTGTCGCAGCAGACAGCAAACCAAGGCTTCCAGCACCGCAAGGTGACAAACCTGCCTGAGTGTCGGACACTGCGGGCAGTTTGCAGTTCCCGTTATCCACAAAATCCTCTTGTGCTCATGCACCCTTGTTTCATGCCCAGGCAAGGGACTCGGGCGTACCCCAGATGCTGCTTCTGTTTGTGCTGGTAATGAGCATTTGTAGATATAAGCTGAATTCCTTCCGTGCTCAGAGGCCTCCAAGGTCTTCCCGTCGTTCTGCTGTCCCTGTTGCACCCTCAAGAAGGCTCTCACAATTCATTTCCAACTGCAGGATAGCTCGGGGCAGAGCTCACGGCATGGGACATGCCCACTGAGGCATGAGGATCACGCTGGAGAGAGCACATTGCCCATGCAAACGCCTCCGGTCCAGCCTGGCCGCGGGGGCCGTGCAGGGGGGTTACCCTGCGCCTGGGCTGAGTGGGCAGCAAGAGCTGCCCTGGGTGTGCGAAGGAGCAGAAGGACACTCAGGCACTGGCTGAAAGTCAGCAGCAGTTCCTACAGGGAAGGATGGCACATCCTGTAGTTTAGAAGGAACGAGCGGGTGAAAGGGAGCCACCAGCGACTTCCAAAAGAAAAGCAGATACCTGCTCCTTGCCACAACCTTCGTCCACGGTGGGACCAAGTTCTGGCATATTGTAAGGGATGAAGTCAGCAAAGTTCATCACCAAAGATAGTATTTACTGCCAGGTATCAGTGTCCTGGACTTAAGAGAGAGAGAGAGAAGAAGATATACAAGTAATACATACACTAGAGAGACGTATTGCCACACTGTTAACAAAAGTAAAGGTTGAAAGTCACTTCCCACTCAGCCGTTAACACACTGTTCAATAGTAGTCAAGTTACATTCTGCATTACATTAAGGAAACAAAAAAAAGAGCAAGCTAGGAAATTTATCAACAAAAGTTAATGTACATGGGGGTATTAAGTGCAGTTTAAGGAAAGCTGTATCATGGAACTTGTCCTTCAGACAGCCCAACATTAGGATGTACGGAATCACAAGTTACAATTACACGAACAATTCTGGCAGCATAACACTAACCAACCAAAACAAGCCTTCAACTCAGTTCGCATCAGTATGTGTGTAGGAAGACCTCAGTTCGGTAATTTCTACATAAACTTTGACTGCAGAGCTAAAGCAATCGCAGACAGCACAGCTTTCCCTAAAGGTTACCAGGAAAACAGCACAGACTGCAGAGAGCTGGTATAACAGGCTTGCCACACTGCACCAGCCAACAGGCAGAAAGCCATATGCACTAACTTCAGCCTCTCTCTACCGTCCCGATACAGATCCTGGACACAGTGTTTATAGCTGACTAACCTCAAGGCAGCAAAGACATGAATAATGCAGCATGGGGCACGCACAAAAGAAATGGTAGCGTTCAGGTGCTGTCTCCATTTTACAGGCGGAGAAACTAAGGTGGGGAAACTGCTTCTCTTCTCTACAGCTCTGCCAGAATAGAAAATATTCTCATGACAAAGCAAGGAATCCTGAGGTTCTGCTGTATCCTTATTTCACTACATAAGAAAAAACTTGACAGTATTAAAAGCTAACAGTTTATAGTGCATAAAGAGAAGTGTTATATGCAAAATATAAACAAGTGATAGAAGTCACTGTAAGGAGATGCTGGTATAAACACTTCAATAGTTGCTTCTTTGCTTAAAGAAAATTGACATTTCTGTGGATAGGAACAATCTCCAATTACTCTATCCAGGACACAGCTGCAAGCAGTCCGCCTTCTTGGTGCACTCAATCAGGTAATCTCAGAGAAGGTCAGGAAGAAATAGCTGCTATTGTGGATGGCGATCTTTCGCCTCTCCGTTTTTGCTTAGTATTTGTATGGCACCAAGCACACCAGCCTCCTGGCCTGTGACAACAGCCTGGTACCGGTACAGCACTGGGGGAACCCTGTCGCTCCCACTGTGGTGGGGATTGCCAGTGCTGTGCAACCTGTCCTGTCCCAGCAAGGCTGAAAAACTTTTGCAAGGAGAGAGGAAAATAATGTTGTTTGGGTTGGGCAGGTGTGAAGATGGCTTTAGGTTAAACAATCAGGGCAAATCCTCAGGGCCACAATGGCAATTAAGCAGCAGTTTAATTTACTCATCCCATGACCAGAGAATCAATCCCCCAGCCTACTCTGCCCAGGACCCTCACAAATCAGCTCTGACCCAACCTTTCCTTCTCCCACTTCTCTACCAGGGCAGCATAGCACCAGTGCTAGAAATAAGCTAAACAAACCACAGAGCTTCTGCAGGGATGAAAAATTTTAAAATGCATTCTGCAAATGAAAGCCTGTGTGTGCCTTTTACTGCACGAGAGGAGTTACACCCACTCTCTAGCCCTTTTCTTGTAGCATGACTTTAAAGATGAAAAAGCAGCTGCTTGCCATATTCAGTGCTTGATCTTCTTCTGCCTATTTTGAATAAACCGAAACCTTTTTATATGCCACTTTCTAGCCTCTTCAAGCAAGTTTCTAAACTTATTTTTCAAGGCAAGCCTCTCCTGCAGGAAAATTCAGTAAAATAAGAAACTATGTCTGAAATTATATATATAAACACAATAACCACAGTCAATCCTTTATTCCTTTCCCATGTTGGTACAGCACACGGAAAACACTCTGAGACAAATGTGCTTTCCCAGTGCTGATCTCCACTTTATTGAAGTCCCTCAAGAAAATCCCTCAGCATTTTAACAAAGCCAGGTGGATGCTACACCAAATAAGTGTTATGAAGACTTTGCTTCCACAATTGCCACAGAAAATTGCCTGGAGTTCCTCCCATTTAAATGCCATTGACATGAAGACGGTGTGCTCCATTTTAATAAAGAGTGACCAGATAATCCAAGCAGTAACTAACTTGCTGCCTCTATTTATTTTTTCCTTCCCTTTCAGGGCAGCTAAACAGCTACCATACTAAGTGCAATAAAATGACAGAACTTCATCAGCTTAGCCACAGAATATTTCTTATGAAGAAACTAGTACGGGTTGCTTTTAACTTGAGAACTACTGGTAATTTGCAAGTTCCACTGATGTACTGCATTTTTTTTTTTTTTTGGCGGGGGGGGGGAGAGAGACCCTGAGCCCTTACAATTCATTGATTTGCTAAACTTAACACTTCATTCCCGCAGCCCAGTATTTTCTAATAATCAGGACCTCCAGCATAGGATTCCTTTGAAATGTTACCCTACGTCAGGCAACAACATTTAGAGACTTCTTCACGAATAGAAATAGATCTTGTCAATGGGAGAAACTTTCTGACGTGGAACTTGTTGAATAAGGAGTAGATCCTATTTGTGAAGTGCACCCTGCAGCTTGTGTGAAAGCAGCCATCCTTCTTCACTTCAAAGCCCCTAGCATCACCTGGAATAACTTACAATCTTGTTTATTTCAGTAGTTACTGACCTATTTAGACGCGTTTTACGCCAAGCGCAGCTGAACTGCTGCGGTCTGCTCAGGTGCTCTCTGCACGGGGGTGACAGAACGGGGATGTTTTTACGCATTTCCTGGCTCCCCCCCCCCCCCGAACGCCGCGTTTTGAATCACCGCAGCTCTCAGGCGAGGCACCCACGCGATCGCCCGGCCTGCCCGGACAGCGCGGCTCGGCTGTCGGGCTCCGCACCCGCCGCGGCCCCACGCCGCGGTCCCGGGACCCGCCGCGGC